TAGAGGCCTGCTAAGAGTAACATGTCGCCGGCTGAGGCGGGCTCGGCTGATGCGGGAAATGCAGCAATCACAATTTTGTGTTTACACGTTCATATTTCAATTGTTTACCAACCGATTTTCAAAATTCTTTCACCATAAGATTGCCTGTACATTTCTTAGTCTTCTCACAAAATTTGACGCGAATCGAACGTAATCAGCGGTAGGGAGCGCGATGTAAAGACGGAACCGTTTCGTTCCGTCCCGGCACAGTCTACAATTCAGGCGGCGCGTAGCGGTCGGCGCCGGCTGCCGAGTCGCCGCGTTGCTGCGGCGACAGGATTTTCACTTTACACCGCTATTACTAGAACAGTTGTGAACCGATTTTCTTATTGCTTGCACGATGAGATGTCCAATTCAATTCTTGACAGGAAGCCATAATTAATTTCGCATTAATCTTATGAGATATTGGCGAAAAACAGGAGGGGTGGGCGAAATTCGTTCTTCCCCCTCCACTGCGCGTGCTAACATACGTTTGCATATGTGCAATTTTCTTCAAAATTTATGAATGGCCCACTCTAATTTTTTTCACAGGTTGTTAAGAATATGGTAGGCAATAAAATATATGAAAATGAGCCAAATCGAAGGTGACGTGTTTTTTGCTATTTCAATATTTGTGCTTAAGAACAGAGTTAAGCAAATTTCAAGGTCATATATTTAAGTAGGTGCAATTCTAAACAAATGCTTAAGAAATTACCTAAACAGTAAGGCTTATTTCATTCAAATCAAACAAGTACAACCAAAGTTATGGTCGTTCAAAAATATAAAGATGCAACATTTTGTAAAAATTTGATGCCCTATATTTAGAAGACCTGTGGTCAGAATGTGCAAAAAACATCAATGTAATGTCCAGGGCCACACAGGAACTCGCTCACAAATTTATAATGAAATCGCTGATGGTAAGGTGCAAAACAGCCGATTTTTGTTCGATTTGACGTGGAATGCCCCGTAAGTGAGAGGTCATCGATATTTCGTAGTGGGCCTGTCGAGCACGGCACGGCCTCAGGGGAGCGTGACATTGTAATTCATTAGTACAGGGTGAGAACTCCTCATCCTTCAACAAGAGACTCATAAAGAGCGGATGGGAACTGATTCGGTTTTACAGGGAGCACAGTGACACACGGACACACATCAAAGACGGAAAGGGGTAAAATGAAGAGCCAAAAAAGGAAGAGTCTTGCAAATCTAGCGCGGACACACATCCGGACGCAGACACGGTCCGTGCAGAGACGTCGACAAGGGCATGAAGCAAAGACACACGCTAATGGCCATTGCCGTCCACACATGAACAGATGGGAACAGAAATTCCCCCACACACGGACACGGACACACGAACACGGACACGGACACACGAACATGGACACACGGACACAGACACACGGACACGGACACGGAGACACAAGGACACGCACACACGAACATGGCAGGGGAGGACCGACCCGTTCCGCTATGTGGCCAGTGCCGAACATGACAGGACACTCAGCGGTAGTTCCGCTATGCGGGCAGTGCGGGACAGGACAGTCAGCCTGGTTCCGCTATGCGCCCGGAATGCGGGGCGGCCACCGTTCCGGGCGGTGGAGCTCGGCCAGCTGACTACCCCCCCATCCCCCCTCCCCCCCCCCGGCACACCTGGTCGGAGGGATACGCCCCGGGGCGCAAACCACACCAGCTGGCGGCGCGCACTGATTGATAGGGAGGCTCATTCGGTGTACCGATTCCGAACAATGACCCCTGACATCGGAATCAGTGTGTGGTTTACTTCACGGCTTGTAAGCGACGCGGATCGATCCGTTACTTATTACGGAGCGAGCGAAGCGAGCGTAGTCTTTCCTTAGATTAACGGAAATTTCTGAGTATGAGCGGCCGGCCGGCCGGCCGTGGTCACGCTTTTGCGAGGCTTATATCTCAGCAACCACTTGACCGATTTACACGCGGTAATTTTTGTAGGGTAGCTTCATTCCCTCTACCAAGTATTGGACTATTCCCGATGCATGTGGGTGACCCCTTATGCACGTGCCACGTACAAAACGAAGAGGTGTCATTTTTGTAATTGTTGCAATATCTCGGTAACTACTTGGCCGATGGCGCTGAAAGTTGGCATGTAGGTAGGCACCTACTAGGCAATGCATATCCATGTGCCAGAGTTGGGGTGCTGCTGCACGTGCGCACGTGCAGGGGTCGTTTCCAGATCTCGAGAACGGCTCGACCGATTGCGCTCAAATTTGGTACACAGTTAGGGACCGGTTAGTAGGGTGCCGTGCGAAAGTCAGTTGGGACCCATTTTGCACGTGCGCACGTGCAGGGTGCCGCTTCCAGATCTCGAGAACGGCTGGGCCGATTGTGCTCAAATTTGGCACATCGCTAGAGACCGGTTAGTAGGGTGCCGTGAACAAGTCAGTTGGAGGTACCCCTTGCAATTTCGCACGTGCAAGGCCCACCCTCTCGCTCGCTCCGTTAGTCGCCCCTCAAGGCGTTATACTGGTTATATGCAGGTGGTATGATTCCATTGTTACGGAGCGAGCGAAGCGAGCGTTATTACGGAGCGAGCGAAGCGAGCGTAGTCTTTCCTTAGATTAACGGAAATTTCTGAGTATGAGCGGCCGGCCGGCCGGCCGGCCGGCCGTGGTCACGCTTTTGTGAGGCTTATATCTCAGCAACCACTTGACCGATTTACACGCGGTAATTTTTGTAGGGTAGCTTCATTCCTTCTACCAAGTATTGGACTATTCCTGATGCATGTGGGTGACCCCTTATGCACGTGCCACATGCAAAACGAAGAGATGTCCGTTTTGTAGTTGTTGCAATATCTCGGTAACTACTTGGCCGATTGCGCTGAAAGTTGGCATGTAGGTAGGCACCCACTAGGCACTGCATATCCATGTGCCAGAATTGGGGCGCTGCTGCACGTGCGCACGTGCAGGGGTCGTTTCCAGATCTCGAGAACGGCTCGACCGATTGCGCTCAAATTTGGTACACAGATAGGGACCGGTTAGTAGGGTGCCGTGCACAAGTCAGCTGGGACCCACTCTGCACGTGCGCACGTGCAGGGTGCCGCTTCCAGATCTCGAGAACGGCTGGGCCGGTTGTGCCCAAATTTGGCACATCGCTAGAGACCGGTTAGTAGGGTACCGTGCACAAGTCAGTTGGAGGTACCCCTCGCAATTTCGCACGTGCAAGGCCCACCCTGTCGCTCGCTCCGTTAGTCGCCCCAAAAGGCGTTATACTGGTAGTCTTTCCTTAGATTAACGGAAATTTCTGAGTATGAGCGGCCGGCCGGCCGGCCGTGGTCACGCTTTTGCGAGGCTTATATCTCAGCAACCACTTGACCGATTTACACGCGGTAATTTTTGTAGGGTAGCTTCATTCCTTCTACCAAGTATTGGACTATTGCCGATGCATGTGGGTGACCCCTTATGCACGTGCCACGTGCAAAACGAAGAGGTGTCACTTTTGTAATTGTTGCAATATCTCGGTAACTACTTGGCCGATTGCGCTGAAAGTTGGCATGTAGGTAGGCACCCACTAGGCAATGCATATCCATGTGCCAGAGTTGGGGTGCTGCTGCACGTGCGCACGTGCAGGGGTCGATTCCAAATCTCGAGAACGGCTGGACCGATGGCGCTCAAATTTGGCACATGGTTAGGGACCGGTTAGTAGGGTGCCGTGCAAAAGTCAGTTGGGACCCATTTTGCACGTGCGCACGTGCAGGGTGCCGATTCCAGATCTCGAGAACGGCTGGGCCGATTGTGCTCAAATTTGGCACATCGCTAGAGACCGGTTAGTAGGGTGCCGTGCACAAGTCAGCTGGAGGTACCCCCTCGAAATTTCGCACGTGCAAGGCTCACCCTCTCGCTCGCTCCGTTAGTCGCCCATAAGGCGTTATACTGGTGTATTGTAATGGCTCACTGATCGGTATAAGGTTCCTCCTCACTGATCGGGTGATTGATATACGTTGGAGTGAAATTAGCAGTTTCGTAAAATAGGGGCTCAGGCAAACACACACATAGCTGATGCCATGCCGACGAGGGCTACGACATCAAACGCGCATTATTACAACATAATGACCTCTGACTAAGAGGCGGCATCACGCCGAGGGTTTTGTCCATATCAATCAGAGCGATATTGTTATAATCTGGCGAGTGGCGGGATTAGCCCACCTCATCAGTTTGATAGCGCAGGGCTCGCTTTAATGACGGATGCTAATCAAAATAACGATGAACGAACGCTAATGAAGGCGTTCCATTTTAGCCAGGGGACATAAATAAGCCTCTAAGTCTAAACAATATCAGATTAGCGATCAGATTTCGGGTTTGGGTACATAACAGACCGGCAATGATTTTCTATCCATTTAAGTGAGATAAAAAGTTATAATTGGAAGGGTGCTACGAAAACTAATGTTACAGCCGTTTGCTCACTCGATTTCGCAGTTTGCGTCAGCAGTACGATGCATTTGTTCGCAATGTTCAGAAAACATTTAAGTCATGACTGATCTGACTTCTGAGTCAATAGTCTCAACAGTCGAATGTTCTCCAACGCTCAAATAATTTTCAGCAGCCTTAGAAATCTAACCATGCTTTGCAGCTATGGCCAGCGCAGAACACACCAACACGAGAATAGCATCTAAGTTGACAGTTGACATTTCCACGTGACAGTGAATTGTGACAGAAGTCAGGCTGCTGCTTGATAGGGGCAGCTGGTGTGACAAATTGCTCTCATCCCAAACATGGGCAGCATACGGACAACTATTGACATCAAGATGCAAAGCTCAGGCAGGCTTGGTGGTCAGTCTTACATACAAGAGCGTGGAACGAGCATGGATTTCAGCTCCCCTCAACGCTGACAACATCTCGAAAGTGTCCTGCTCCGCCAGTGATCTTTGTAACAATCTGAGAGTGGAGCTAGGAAACCTGGAGCCTTACGTGGTCGTGATTATCTGCGTGGCTTTGGCCAATCCCAGCACTCACCTGTCGCGGCGATCGTCACAAGTTGGTGACGGTGACGGCGCGCACGGCCTGCTCGCGGGTCAGCTGCTGCTCCGCCAGGTCCAGCAGCTCCTGGGTCACCTGGCTCGTGTCCAGCAGCACGCTGGAGCACCGCGAGCGCACGCTGTCCTTGCTGCGCACGCTGCCGGCGTCGCTGTTCTCCTTGTCGTTGGTGGGCGGCGCGGCCGGCGGGACTGCTGGGGGCGCCGCGGGCGCCCCGTGGAGCGCCCCGTGCGCCCCGGGGGGCGCCGCGTGCCCTGCCGTGCTGCCGTTGTCGTGCACCAGCTGCGGGTTGTCCCAGATGCCGCTGCGCCGCTTGTCGCGCTGCTTGTAGCGGCCCGAGCGCGAGATGGAGACGCGTCGCTCCATGTTGCGGCCATCGCCCTGCTGGCGCCCGTCGGCGTCCTCCGGCTCAGCGGAGACGGCCGGAGTCGGGGCCGACTTGTCCCGACGACCCATGATGCTGCGCAGAACCTTCGCCATGTCGACCTCTGAGAGGGACGTCAGAGAAAGGTCAAAGCCAGGTCAGCGCGGGGAGGACAAGGCAGGATGGGAGGAAAACGATGGAAGCTGGTTGGTGGTCGCTGAAAGACCACATGCAAGGCCACCAGCGCAGGCAGGTGTTTCGAAGAGCTTTACTGAGAAGTGGGCGACGGAAAGATACAGCAATGCGCTACGTGATGCCAGGTTGTTGTTCAGATATGACGTCATGCTGCCTACCCTTTGGTTGATAGAAAGATATGGGCAAGGGCTTAGGAATAGGACGAGGAGGATTGACAAGGTAAGTCGGGTATTGGAGCATCGATGATAGCGTGACGCCTCTTATAGTGATAAAAGACCAGGGAACATGTTAATAAATGAGTTACTCTTCAAGATGCTGTTAATTCGCCAGCACACTTTGTCATCCCACCCAAAGTTCATCTGACCCCATGCTTTGGGATGGAGCCTATCAGGTCAGTCGCCCACCATCAGACACAAGATATGACAGGAAAGCCATAAAAAACGTGATTTATCTCGGAGCGGCAAAACCGACCTATCGAGGCCATTACATCACACATCAATACCGGGCTGTTTGGCCATAATACTCGAGCATGTTACATCTTGAAATAACACAAGTAAAACTGGGCGATGGAGAATGAAAATATAACAGAGAATAGTCCTTTCTTTCTCAGATAGGTAGGTAAACTTCACAAATGGCGAGACAAGGAGACCTCATACAGTTGAATATCATTTTAGGCATATACGAGTAGTTATGGCTAGTGAGAAGTGATATAATCAAATGTAATTAAATTCAGTGACAACTGACATTAGTTATTTTGCATAGATAATTAATTAAAAATGGTGACTGTTAGCATATCCATCTTATAGGTATGTATGTACATATATGATTATTCTGATGCATCAAAGGCATCATCATGTAGGTGCCAGCTGGCTATTCTATTTACGGCATATATGCGGTATTGCATGCTGCCTATATTTATGAAAACATGCCCAATAAAAGAGGCACGGCACTTAAACTGCCATTTGAACAGGGCAATAAGAGTCTTAAGTGCATCACTAGTACAATGAAATGCATTGTGGATCGATAATTGATATCGCCCCTGCCAGTTCTACAGAGCCATCCGTGGCCTATTCATGCACATGAGAGGCGATACTGCAGCTTGAAGCCGGTCTCGCTGATAGCACGGGCCACTAGTGTTTACAGACAGCAGTCGTACTGACCACTAAGGCTTCTGCCGCTGATCGTGACACGGGACCGATCCATGTCGCGGACAGCCGACCTGTTCGAGCCGCATCTGAGGAGCCTGTCAATTGCGACGGCTGATAATGGGTCAGGACGTTTGAGCGCAACACTCCATTTGAGCGGATGAATTTTACAGTTGTAGTTTGGTGTGTTTTAGGCCTAATTTTCTCTGCTATAGAGCAAATTAGAGCGCGTAAAGCATGCCATCAGATTATTTCATTTTTTATTGGCGGGCAATTACAATGCAACATTTAATCATTTTAATTTTTTTAAGAAAAAAAAAATTAAGAGAAGCTGACCTTCAGTCGGCCAATATGTCGCTCATGCAGTTCCATGCCTCTTAAAGGGAGATAATGACCTTTTTCCACAAAATCTGAGTTAGGATCATTTTCTGACAAAACACAACAAGTTATAATGTAAATTAAAACCATTTTGCTCAATGCGGTACCTTGCCGCAAATATCTCAACTTGAAGTCACGTTAGCGGGGAGCGCTGAAAATGACCGTTGAATAAGTACTTACATCACTTTTTGGTACTTGCATGTAATTTTGTAAAATGAGCGTATTCCTTACATTTGATCTTCATCACATCTAGTTAGTTAATGGTCGTCTATAGTGCCTTCAAAAGATATTCATGGTTTGGGGGTGGTTTATGTCTAAATTTACGCAACTATTTTTCCTGTTCATCATCTGAGGCCATATGCTGCTATTTTAGTAGCAACGACTCAATTTTGAATCGGTCCCGCCGACTGCACAATAAAAGAAGATAGATACAACACTTTTGCGACATCACTGAAAAACTTATGCAGTACTGTTATCAAAATTCTCATAACACCGTTCGACAAACCTGAAGTCTTTTTGAAATAAATATGCTTGTATTTTTCGCTTCAGGCTCTGAGGCCAAAATAATGAATTTCGTAGTCGCAATCGCAAGATTTGGCTGCGTTTCTGGCGCATGCCGTTCATTTGTGGCGCAAAATAATACTTGGAAACAAAGAAGAGTAGGCACTATGTACGAATCTAATTAATTCTAAACCGAATTAACTCTAATTCAAATTAGAATCCTTACAACCAAGCAACGACAAGGCGATAACATAAACAAAAACCCAAGCGTCGCTGTTTGAAACAAAAGCGCCATATACTGCGACTTTTTTATAGAGAAGGACAAGAAGGACAACGCATTTCGGTGGGTGTTACAAGTACTGCAAGTACTGCTTCTTTTTTGCAAAAATAAAAACCTTTTTCACATACGAAAATGTGCTAGGAAATTTTCATATTTTATAGAAACTACAGTAGAAATAGTATAGATGTCGAGTGATTTTTATTAAAGAAAAAAGAAAGCTCATTATCTCCCTTTAAAGGGACCCTCCCACCTTAACATTAGTTTTGAGTTGAGATAGCCAAATTGGTGGCCATGGCCTGAAAATACCGGTTTGGGCATTCACAACTTCGAAAAATGCTTTAATTCGGAGATATGGAATTTCAAACTTGCAGTTTTCGGATTCTAAGGGGCTAATGCATTGGTATGCCCCCTTAGAATTTGTGACGTCAGCGGAGATCTAACGATTTTTAAATCTTTTGCTAAAACGTTTGGCAGCACGCGGTGGTATATGCTGCTTTGCGCGCAACAAATGCCGCACTTTCAAATAAAGTCGCTAGGAACAGCGGAGATCCCAAAAAGTAAACAAAAGTAAAAGTCCAATATCTTGAAAACCGGTGAATATTTTTCGATGAAATTTGGTAGATATTCCTTTTTTCTCTTTCTGAACCGAGCGACATCACTTTCATGCCAATTCATTAACTTTTTTGAAGGTGGGAGGGTCCCTTTAAGCAAGCGCACATGCAGATAGAGACGTCGGAATATCAAACCAGTCGCAAAAAATCGCCCAGCGCACCATGGGACCATGGACTCGGGCGAAGGTCGGAGATAGCCTCGCGCAAAAACGCTCTCAGTCATCGCCCGTTTGATGAAGGCTGGGTGACGATGAAGTGGGTGGTGGTATAGGCAATAGGAAGGTGATGAAGAATGGTGGTATTGAAACTAGTAGAGCACTGCACCGAATTTTCGCTGTTTACATTTCCCGGAAGCCGAACACCTAAGTCTACTCAGTTGACTTTACGGAGTGATATAAGGATAAAGATGGGTAGGACTGGAGTCGAAAGCACGTGACCATCCGCAGGTGGAAAATGAAGGAAGCCTTTTCCACAGAACTACCCAACTGCCCAGCCCATCCTGTCAGACGCAGCATGGGGTAGCCGTACATAGGTACTATGGTTGTCGCCAACGACGACAGCCAAAACAAACACTCGTTTTTATGGTTGTCGGCCTTTTACCGACCGTCACAAAAGGTCAATCAGACAGGGCCAGATACACCTCGCGGGGTTAGACAATATCTGGAACACACCACTCCAGCAAAATATCTCCGGTGGTCCTGAGATTTTAAGACAAACTCGCGGGCTCGGCAGATGCACCAGTTCGCGTCGGCGGCCCTGTATCGCCACTCCTTCCCTCCCGGCACCCCTATACTCGCCTGTGTATGACCTACGCGCAGTAGCCGTCTGCAGTCGGCGCTCTGAGACCTCTCCCTCTGGTATAGAGTCTCGGTCGGCGTCGGTGACCCGTGGAGCCAATAGCCGGAAGCGCACTGACCCGGGCGCGGCGATAGGCTCACTGACACTGGCCGCGGCCGCGGGCCGGCCTGGTAGTCGCTACCAGACATCTAATCCTTATCGCAGCCGCCGCGGCGCGAGCCGGCGCGACGACCCGCCCCGAAAAAAATCGCCAGAAACCTGCTCAGCAACGTCACAGGTGTGCGGATTTGTCGTAAAATCAGACGGAAACGATGAATGGCTTTGCCCATTCCAACAGAAAATCACATACGGCGATGAGCGGGCTAGCTATTTGCTCAATGATCAATGGGGAATATTTGTTTCTGGTCCCTAAAAAGCTGTTTCTGGCACCTAATTGCTGATCAGCCCCAAAATGCTTATTCGACCCTAATATCTGAATCTGACACCTAATTGCTTCCACACAGCCTAAAGTTGCCAGATCGTCTAGTTGAACTCCGTATTTGCTGTTTGCTGATTCAGCACCAAAACCAAAACTTCCAGCACCTACAGGGTGTCCCATAAGTTCCTTCTCACCTAAATTTTTCTTTTAGAGGCTCTCTTATTTAAAGCCACGCTTAATTTATTTTGTAACTGAGCTTTTGGGGTTGCCATGGCAACTGTGAATGTGCTCCACGGTAACTAATTCGTCTAGACAAAATATTTTTTGCCAGAGAGTTCACTTCCTGTGGAGACGGCTTACGCCACAACATAGAGGTCTCCGACACGGGAACGTCTCGGTATTTAGTCCACACTGGGCCATTCACGACGGTTGAGGGTGATTGAGGCCATCCAGTATGTAGCCAATGTCTGTCGCTAACTGGACGCACAGTCAACAAGTGACGCCGATGATTTGTCGGGAGTCAATCGCTGCAAGTTTACGCTCTTTTTTGTCAGCTTTCACGAGTGAGCCATGTGGCCAAAACTGTGTGGCGCCAAAATGGCCGTCAAAAAGGTCTTAGCGTTAGAAAGTTGGTAAACAGGCTTTTCAGGATGCATTACCAGCTGTCTAAGAGTATCATTTCGGGGTACCTAACTCAAGGTGACTTAAGCTCTACTTACCGGAGGGCTCAAAACAGTCAAAAACGTCTTAAAATGGCCAAACATGTGTTTCGTTATGCCTGAGGCTAAAAAACTGAAGGGCCGATGACATCAATGTGGTCATCTGGACTACCTAGTCCGTGCTCGAGATAAACCACCGGTGCAAACCCCAAATCGGTCCCATATGGGCGACGTAAAAGGCTTTTTTGTCATCCCGCTTTATTCCTATGCAAAAGGCCAGGGTCACGGTAATGTGGGGTAATATGCGTCCAGACGCTGATGCACAATGCGATTGATACTCCAGAAACAGTCTTGGGACGCAGAATGCTTCTCCAAGAAGATCTAGTAGGAGTTTCAGCTTTCTAGCTTAACTCGAACCGCAAGTATGACCACATCTTTTTAGGAGAAAATGGCATCCGGGAGGTCGTAGGCTCATCTTCAAGCACGACAGTGCATCAGTGCACAGGTCAAGCAAAGCTTAGAAGCAGTGCCAGGAGACTGTGATAGGCGTGTGTGGTAAGATCACATCCCAGCCAACTCATCGGATCCAAATTTCATAAAAATGTGTTGGGAATATAGAAATCGAGGCTCGTCGAAGCGAAGCGGTGTTTCAGCATTGAGGAGCTCACGGCGCATGCCAAGTCAGTCTGGGCTAACTTCAAGCCTGCTATGCTGCCAAACATGCCAGTTGGCATGTCGCAGCATGTATTCATGTGTTTGCCTATGAAATGGGGAGCACATTGAGGGGTTATAAACATATCAAAACGCAATGTACTCTGTTTTACATGCAAATATAAGGTGAGAACGAACTTATGGGACACCCTGTATTTTATTCCACGTTTGCCTACCTAATTCGCGTAATCTTCCTGATTTTATGTATCCTAACAAACATGAACGTTGCATTCGGTGATGTCAAGTGCCATTTTCGCCAGTGGAGATAATGATTAATGCCATTTCTAGCCAAAAGAGAATCACTAGCCAGCTATGGTGCAGCATAGCAAGACGCTCCTATACCAGCCCGCTATGTAGAGACTAGAGATTATTGCACCCTCAGCCATTTTAACGTGAAAAGTTTGGATCCGTCACTTCCAGCCAGGCTCTCAGGTCATAAACTGGAGTAAAGCAAAATGTAAACTCTGAACAGACATGCCACGCAACCGGCCCTCTTTTCAATATTATTAGTTTTCTGCAATCATCGTCTGACTCCATCTCGATCAAACGCAGCATCCGGTTTCTACAGGGGCGTTTGACTTACCGGCCACACAATAACCAAAAACAAAATCAAAGCTTCATGCACACAAATGACATAAGTAAGAAACGGATGAAAAAGGCACAACCACGGCACAACTCTGCGCGGCAAACAACGGACAATGTCCCACGCAAGATCCCGCGTTTCTTCAGCGGCCTTGAACGGAATGAAAACAATACATTTCTTTTTTGGAGCTATTTGATGACGTCAAAAAATACAATACCCGTTTTAATGGTCAAAATCGAGACAATTACTCACAAAAATGTTTCCCTTTAAGCATTACAAATAAACGCTTTTAAATATTTGAATGGCATTGTTTTTTTTCAAACAAATCAATATTATTTGCTTACTTAAACGTCATATACAATGCTGAGATCACTACGGGGCTGTCTTAGAGTGTAGCTGCACTGGCAACCTTTAGACTAGACTCCAGGGGTCATTATACCAGAACAACATGATTCTACCAGCCAGTAGTTCATTTTTCTACTAGATTGGTGCTACGCTCAGCATTTAGGTGCCATATTCAGAAAAAAGAGTAAGGCGTACCGATGAATAGGTGCCAGAAACAGCTAATTAAGGTCATTTTCCATGATTGGTGCTGGTATCCTCCAAATAGGTGCTGAGGACCAATTTTGGGGCGAGTCAGCTTTTAGGTGCCAGAAATAGCTTTTCTGGGACGCAATTAAATGGCGTCCATGATCAATTATGTTTTACCACCGGGCTCAAACGAAACACTTCATGCATTATTGCATTATCCTCAGCTGCATCCTGTCCTAGCGATTATTAACACAATGGCAGTCGTGTTGCTAGTGGAGCTATGGTGGTGGTGGTGGTGGTGGTGGTGGTGGTAGTGGTGGTGGTGGTGGTGGTGGTAGTGGTGGTGTGTGTGTGTGTGGGGGGGGGGGGCTTTTTATTAAATGACCAAGTCGACATGAAACGAGTCTATTTCTCTTTTAAAATCAAGTCAGCTTCTTACTTTCAAATAAATTTAATTTTCATATTCAAGTATTTGATAAGTTCAAATTTCATTATTTGAAAGATCTACCTCCGTTATGAGTTAACCCTCGCACGACCAGGGCATTTCTCATAACACGAACGACCAGGGGGGGGGGTTGTTACGACCCCCCCTGGCGTTTCGAAACGGAAGGTCGTAGAGCTTAGCGGAAAAAACCAACGGATTGCTCTCAACGAGATCTCGCGATTAGTGGTATATTTTTTGGTCCTAGGTCAACATTTGACCTACTTATGACCGGTCAAAGGTCAAATTTTCCGAAAAAATCAAACCTTTTCAACTTTCCGCGGCGATTGCGGCAAAACGGTGGGAGATATCGACTTGAAACCTTCACTATCGTGTTCCTTGATCAATTCTCTATCGTTTGGTATGTATTTCGTTTCCCTAGCTCTAAAAATGACGCGTTGGGAGCGCCGGAAGTCGGCAAGGTCACAGTCGGCGGCAGAAAGTTGAAAAATCAAAATTTAAATTTTTGAAATCTGATTGTATTTTTGGATTTGGGAGGTCCATTTGCTCCCTATAGAAGCTAATATTGCTGCATATTCCCATTGAGGTGACAAGAATTAGCAAAATAGTGGTTCGGGCGCTTTTCAAAAATAGTACCGGACGCTGTTCCTCTTGTGACGTCATAGCTCCGTGACCTGACCTGACCCGGTCAATTTTCTTGCACCACACGATAGCCAATGCTTGCCCCAACATTAGGGTGTTTCACATTTTCAAAGTGCCATATTGCGAGTCATATCGATGTTCCCCTCAAATGTCATCTGCTCACAAGTTTCTGTGTAAAATTTCACTTCATTCTGATGATGTTTAGAGGTCGCACATTTCTGCGACTTTTCATCTCTGATTTTGTTTCTGGCCGTAACATGAGTAGTCTTCCTGCGAACTGATTTGGTTGAGAAAGCCAGGCAGTGGCGGCGGAATAGGGGGTGCAGCTGCACCCCCATCGAAAAACATGGGGGTGCAAACATATCTTTTTTGCACCCCCAAAATCCATACAAGGGGCCCGTCGCACCATCTAATACATTTTCTCCTGAAAACCAGTGATCGGGAAACGAACACTGATGTGGAATCATCCGGGGTGTCTATTTATGGTCAGGAGCGCCCCATGCTAGTCGGGGCCTCCACACCGGCTAGAAGTGTCCCGAGCCGCGTTTGGTGCTCCACACGGCATCTGAGGGCCCCCACGATGGCCTCAGAGGGCCCTTTTATGACGATCTCTGAGGGCTCCCACCTGAGGGCTTTGTCCCCTGGGGCCCTACAACGGCCACTAAGGGCCCTCGTGACGACCGCTGAGGGTCCCACAGAGACTCCAGGGGCCCCACTGGCCCCTGAGGGCCCCTATGACGGTCTCTGAGGGCCCTCGTGACGGCCCTAGACCCAACTCAAGTCTGAGGGCCCATTTGGCTTCAGGCGGCCCAGCGACGGCCTCTGAGGGCCCCAACACAACCAGGCTGCGGGGGCTATGCTGGCATCTGAGGGCTCTGCAACGGTCTATTGAGGGCGGCAGGGCCCTAACAACGATGGCCTGCGAGTCGTGGAACTCAACCGGAAGGCGCTGCCCAAGCGCACCAAGGAAGGATGTGCCCCCTTCTCTGTGTAACGAGTTTTGGTGACAAAAGTGTGCGACCCCTAAATATACTTAAATTTGGGTTTCAAGCATATCAATCGATTCAGTTTTACGGGTAGAGTTGGGGCAAAGTCGATATGGCTGAGTTTTGAACCAACATTATTTTACCATAGTGTAATGAAACACCCTACCCAACATGCATGGGAAGTTTCATCATGATCCATCAAACAATGTGGGTATCACCGGCAGAAAACCTAGGGATTCGGCGCACACGTTTGGTAACTGTCGGCCGGAGGCTGTACCTCTTATGACGTCATAACTCCGTGACCTGACATGACCCGATCAATTTTTTTCGGCAAAAGATGCGCAAAGGTTGCCCCAGAGGGTATTGAAAATTTCAGCCCGCTACGAC